CACGTGGAATTAAAGGAGAAGGAATACACATCAAAAACCTACAGACTTAGTCTAATTTTTTTTATCAAAGTACCGGTGAATTCGTAATTGTCAAGGTATGAAATAAAATAAAAGATTTGAAATTTAAAGATATTTTTGTTATTCCCACCAAGGCGTTGGTTGGTATCCTAATACTTTATCACAATAAAACATCAAAACCCTCGAAAAGAAACTTACAAATTATTTATTAAAAACACCTAAACCAAACTTATAAATGTAATTTTACAGGCACTGGTTTGTACGATTAAGTAACACCTGACTTTTAAAAAAAAGAAAAAAAAAAAAAAAAAAAAAATGGAAAAAAAAAAAATGAAAAATCTAAATTTAAATAAGAAGGCACTGTAATAAACACCTGAATGAAAAACCTACAAAAATGAGTCAAAAATTAAAAATTGACAAATGAATTAAGAAGGATTTGCTCACAGTTCTGATAAATATTATGCCACACTTCTACTGGATTATCAGTTCATTGTCCCTTTAAGAGAGTCCACATAGTATAGATAATAATTTCAATGCTATTTTGATTGGCAATTTCGCATTTTTTATTCTGTGATATTTTAGTACCAATAAGAATTTTCTACTTGATTATCTGCTCAGAATCAATAGCAGTCCATAAATAAATAAATTTTTTGATCCTATCTTGATAGTCAATTTCGAAATTTTTTCAGAGCTTTTTATTTTGGTATAGTTTATCTCTTGATATTTTAGTACCAATAAAAATTTAAATATTTATGAATAAATAAAAATCAAAATCAAAAATGAAGAATAATATCGAACCGCTTCAAAATCAGTATTCCTATGTCTTAAAATCCTCAGGCATCGGTGTTAGATATTGGCAATAAATTTAGAATTATAATTCTGGGCAGACATCAAAATGATATTTTTGTATAGAGATAAAATTAGAAGTAAAACTCTGGAGAGGAAACATCAAAGGAGAATTTTATTGGGTTAAATTTACTAAAGAAAACATTCTTATTGGTGAAAATGTCAGTAAATGCCAGAAATTGAAGTTTGAGGCCGAGGGAAGATTAATATTTCAAACTTCAAAGACTTCATCTCATTCTGTCTGTAATATGCAAATTCTCTTTAGATTTTAAATTATATCTCAATTTCTGTACCGATGTAGATCTAAGTGATGCTATATAGAGATATATTTCAGGCTATGTATTTATTTATATGTGTCTGTATCATTTCAAATAAGAAGGAAAGAAAGAACTATATTTAACAAGGATGACAACTTAGGTTCACAGTTAAGGATCCTTTCTACCAGCTGGTCCTTGGCCAAACCTATTGGCATTAATCTTTCCCGGATTATCCGTAAAGCGTTGGTTTTTATTAGACAATACATGTATATTATATCTTATATTTTGATAATGTATATTTTGGTTTGTATAAGGTGTAGAAGAGATACTCTGTTATAGAAGCACTGGCCTAGGTCAGTAGGGACTGTGGATTTCAGCATTGGAATACATCAATTTGATAGGAAATTACCTACTTCTGGATTTGTGTAAAAGAATGATAATTCATTTTGTAATGTCGAACCACGATGTTTGCTATTTTGCCACTAAGTGTCGTGTCTATTATTTTATATAATTATAGAAATAAAAATAAAAATACAAGTTTATGGTGATATAAGATTTGAACGACATTTAGAAGTGGAGAGAAGATATAACAAAATACAAGGGGTATATTATGGTATAACTCACTTCTTTAATAACAAAGCACATAACGTTTCAACACAATTTACACGTGTTGTCATCAGATGAAATGGCACATAGTATATGATGATATTTAAAAGAATAACAAAAACAGAAATATTCAGTCATCATTTGTATCTATAAATTCGAGTGCATACAGATGAATAATAATAAAAGTTTTAAATCTTAAGAGGGTTTTCAATTGGTATCAAAACAACACTTAAAAAGAAAATAGTTATTAATAATAAAATACGATAAAGACGATAGTATCCTATCATACTTGATATATAGATATTGAAGGAAATTAAAGTGTTTTGTGTTTGTTTAATATAATACAATAACTTTTATTCTAGAATATTTCAATATGCAAAACAACTTATAAATTACACTTTACTCTTGTGAAAGAGTAACCTGAAACCGGTTACAGAAACAGAAAACAACGAACTTCATTCACATTAATATATATACTCTAATATTTTAGAATTATTTAATTTGTAATAAGTATTACTTTATAATTCAATTTCATTACTTTATAAATATCAAGTTGATGTAGCTGAATTTTCACCTCGGCCTGTGCTTTCGTAATTTCAATAATATGTTGTTGTTACAACCAGCCTTACCTAATCAATAGAAATATCTCAGAAATGTATTTAATGCACAAATAAAGAAATTGAAACTGTTTGAATTAATTATTCTTATTCCAGTTCTCGTTCATAAACGAAATAAAACGTCACAAGTTATTTATTAAAGTAATTGTTATCTAGAGTATAATTGTATAAATGATCATTTATAATTGATATACGTCCGTGTGAGAAATTCATAAGCTTCTGTCAATATTTCGCCAAAATATTGTTTTCGATTTTGGGTTTAATTTTGCAATGTAGATCGTTAGGTTTTTATTTATATATTTATCTCAATCTCAGAATAAATTTTTATCTTCTCAAGTCACAGACAGCATGAGAATACAGCGACTATTTAAAAAACACAAAAGAATATCAATTTCAACAGAAAACACGATTTAACCCCTTCGACACCCAAAATATTCATAATTTCTTTTTTTAATGCATTTAATATACTGTATTGAACATGTGGCTAGTGTATGGTTCCATCATGAAATAAATTTAGTATGAGTTAAGAACTCGTTCAGAGGCTTATACTTCCATCTTTAACATTTACCCATTGCCCACCACACAGCTTTGCCCGTCTTCATCAGCTCAAAATAAGACTAATTTCATTAGTCCAATAAGATACAGAACAGTAGGATATAAAACTCATTTCAATTCATTAGTTCAATAAGATACAGAACAGTAGGATATAAAACTCATTTCAATTCATTAGTCCAATAAGGTACAGAACAGAAGGATATAAAACTCATTTCAATTCATTAGTCCAATAAGGTACAGAACAGAAGGATATAAAACCTCATTTCATTTCATTAGTCCAATAAGATACAGAACAGTAGGATATAAAACTCATTTCAATTCATTAGTCCAATAAGATACAGAACAGTAGGATATAAAACTCATTTCAATTCATTAGTCCAATAATGTACAGAACAGAAGGATATAAAACCTCATTTCATTTCATTAGTCCAATAAGATACAGAACAGTAGGATATAAAACTCATTTCAATTCATTAGTCCAATAAGATACAGAACAGTAGGATATAAAACTCCATTTCATTTCATTAGTTCAATAAGATACAGAACAGTAGGATATAAAACTCATTTCATTTCATTAGTTCAATAAGATACAGAACAGTAGGATATAGAACTCCATTTCATTTCATTAGTCTAATAAGATACAGAACAGTAGGATATAAAACTCTATTTCATTTCATTAGTTCAATAAGATACAGAACAGTAGGGTATAAAACTACATTTCATTAGTCCAATACGGTGCAAAACAGTCGGATATACAACTCCATTTCATTTCATTAGTCCAATACGGTGCAAAACAGTCGGATATACAAATCCATTTCATTAGTCCAATACGGTGCAAAACAGTCGGATATACAAATCCATTTCATTTCATTAGTCCAATACGGTGCAAAACAGTCGGATATACAAATCCATTTCATTAGTCCAATACGGTGCAAAACAGTCGGATATACAAATCCATTTCATTAGTCCAATACGGTGCAAAACAGTCGGATATACAAATCCATTTCATTAGTCCAATACGGTGCAAAACAGTCGGATATATGTGACGAATTCGTTCAATGTATTTTCCCTAAAAAATAGAAAAGAAGGAAAAATTAAAAGATAACGCATATTTATTTTATGACACTGATATTTGTTTTCTGGTCGTATTTCATTAAAAGATGTCTTAGTTTTCGGGAAAATATCCTCAGACCTCGAGAATTTTGTGCTCTTACATCTTCGGTATGAACAGCTTGTAGGATTACATAATCTGAAGAAGGTGTCGTAAGACCCGCTTAAATATTGGCACAGATCCGATTGTACAAACCATTTATCTATAGCCTATGAACCATGGCCCTAAGATAGCTATTTTTTCAAAGGTGCTACGTCATTGGTTAATCAAGACATAACATACATCTGATTGCTGCGTGTTGACTTGATAAAAAAACAACTATGAATTAAATGCGAACAAGAACTTTCTATGAGGAGGCTACTAAAACTACCAGCAATTTTTTTAATGTGTTAAATACCAAAAATACCGTTTTTATTTTTCAACCAAAAGCTTAATTACCCCAACCACCACAATTCTTCTCAAATTTTCTCTTTGTATACTTATATATACTGAATCAGAGAAACTGGTGATGGTATCGGAGCCCAGACACTCTCTAGATCTCAAGTACTGTTATATAAGCGGTGTTACATATTTCTACAACCACTTAAAAGCGGTGTAACATATCATTCGGGCTACTTGAAATGTGTCAGTTATACCAAAGTCAGAATTTCATAGCGTTAATAAGAGATCATACCTCACTGAACATACCTGGCTCCAGATTTTTTAAACACAGGCCTATTTCCTTGAGTCCAATTCCACGTGCCCTTTGAAGAAATAAAATGGCGTCTTACGCCTTACTCTTCTGTTCCAATCTGTGTCTTACTGAACATGTCTCCCTTCAAATTATGAAAAAAATTCAAAATCGAATACGATGTACTGAACCCCCCCCCCCCCCCCCC